ACACACACACATACATATATATTTGACACCATATATACATATTATGGTGTCAAGGAGATTCTGGCTATTTAATACTTCAATTTGTCCCCTCATCACTTCTTCTAGGATCCCACAGAAAATCAACTGGTCAAGTTCTTAATTGTGATCAGAAGAGGGGAGAGGGATGCAGGAGTACATACTTGCAAGAGACAGTAAATACCCAGAAATAAAGAAAACAGTATACTCTACATAAGCGCCAAGACTTACTAGTTTTATTAAGGTCTAGATTAGGGATCAGTAAACAAATCAACCAACTGCCTGTTTATGTAAATACTTTTATTGCAACACAGTCATACTCAACAGGCACACTCATTTGTTTATGCATTTTCTCTGGTTGCTTTTGTACCACAGTGACAGGGTTGACTGATTGTGACAGAGCCTGTATGGCCTTGAAAACCAAAAATATTTACTGCCTTACTCTTCACAGAAAAAAATGTGCTAATCCTTGTTGTAGATAATTCGCCCAGAATCATATTTTCAGTATCCCCAGGGCAAAAATTTTCACGTTCATCAAGTCCTCTAATCCATTGCTTCTCAAACTGTAATGTGCATATAAGATCACCTGGGGGTCTTGTTAAAATGCAGATTCTGATTCAGTAGATCTGCAATGACGCCTGAGATTCTGCATTTCTAACATGCTCTAGGTTGACACCAATACTGCTGGTCCCTAAATCAACTTGATCCATCCCATCAGGTTTTTTTTCTTTTTTCTTTTTAATTGAGATATAATTGACATACAACATTAGTGTCAGGTATACAATGTAATGTTTCAATATTGCATATTCAATATGTATATATTGCAAAATGATCACCACGCAAGTCTAGTTAACATCTATCACCACACATAGTTATAAATTTTTTTCTTGCGATGCAACTTTTTATGATTTACTCTCTTAGCAACTTTCAAATATACAATGCAGTATTTTTAACTATAGTCACCATGCTGTGCTTTATATCCTCAGGGCTTATTTATTTTATAATTGGAAGTTTGTACATTTTGACCACCATTAACCATTTTGTCCACTCCCCAGCTCTGCCTCTGGCACCACCAATCTGTTCTCTGTATTCTATGATGTTCATTTGTTTGGTGTTTTTGTTTGTTTGTTTGTTTTCTTTTAGATTCCACATATAAGTAAGATCCTATGGTATTTGTCTTTCTCTGTCTGACTTATTTTACTTAGCATAATTCCCTAATGGTCCATTCATGCTCTCGTAAATGGCATGATTTTCTTCTTTTTATGGTTAAATAATATTTCATTGTATATATATATATATATATGTATATACCACATTTTCTTTATCCATTCATCCATTGATGGACACTTAGGTTATTTCCATGTCTTGGCTATTGTGAATGCTGCAATGAACATGGGGATACAGATATCTTTTCAAGTTAGTGTTTTCATTTCCTTGGGATAAATACCCAGAAGTGGAATTGCTGGGTCATATGGTAGTTCTATTTTTAATTTTGGGGGGAACCTCCATACTGTTTTTTATAGTGGCTGCACCAATTTACATTCCCACCAACAATGCACTAGGATTCCCTTTTCTCCATATCTTTACCACCTCTTATTTCTTGTCTTTTTTATAATAGACATTCTAACAGATGTGAGGTGATATCTCACTGCGGTTTTGATTTGCAACACTGCGGTTTTGATTTGCATTTCCCTGATAATTAGTGATGTTGAGCATCTTTTCATATGTCTGTTGGCTACGTGTATGTTCTCTTTGGAGAAATGTCCTCTGCCCATTTTTAAATGGGATTACTTGGTTGTTTTTTTTGCTATTGAGTTGTATGAGTGCTTTGTATATTTGGATATTAACCCTTTATCAAATATATGATTTGCAAATATTTTCTCCCGTTCTGTAGGTTGCCTTTTTAGTTTGCGGATGGTTTCTTTTGCTGTGCAGAAGCTTCTTAGTTTGATATAGTCCCACTTGTATATTTTTGCTTTTGTTACCTTCACTTTTGGTGTCAAA